TGATTGATATATCAGTAGCACATGGTGCAGCTAATCACTGCTCCTCTAATTAGACACTCTCTTCGCGCATCACTGGGACCCCACTCACTCCTGGCTCCCCTCCCTCATTGGGCCTCTTTCCCAGTCCCTTCTCCTGGTTCCTGCTCTGTTCTCTGACTGCTTACTGGGGAGCAGCTGAAGACTCAGCTCTGGTTCTTTGTTTTCCTTATACTTGCTTGGTGGTGTCCTATCCAGCCTCATGGCCTTAAACCCCATCTACATGTCAATGACACCCATTCTCTCTCCAACCCAGTCCACTCACCTAATCTCTAGACCTGAATGTCTAACTGCCTGCTTGATATCTAAACTTGAGCTTCTCATAGGTGTCTCAGACTAATCCCCAAAGTAAACTCTCAATCTTCCTGCCAATCAAATATACTTCCTGTGGTCTGTCTCATCTCTGTTAATAGCTAATCCATCTTTCCAGTTGCTTGGATCAAAGCATCTTGGAATTACCTTGACGTCCCTCACTCTCTTACAACTTTCTTCCATTTCAGTGAAATACGACTGGCTGTACCTTCAAAATACTTCAAGAATTCAATTACTTCTCACTGACAATACCATCCTGGGCCAAGCTGCCATCATCTCTCACCTGTATAATTGTGTAATAAGCTCCTAGCTGGGCTCTATGTGTCCTGGCATTCTTTTGTCTTTTCTCAACATGGCAGCCAGAGGGATCCTGTTAGACCTGAGTCAGGCTCTGCCACTCCTCTGCTCCAAACCTGTCAGGGGCAGCATCTCACTCAGGAAAAGCCAGAGTCATCACTGTGATCACAAGGCCCTACTGATACACCACCACCCTATGACTTCTCTGACCTGTTCCCTCCTCTCTGCCCCTTCACTGTCATTGCCCCAGCCACAGTGGCCTCCCTGTTGCTCTTCTGGACACTCCTGCCTCTGCCCCCAAAACTCTCTGCCCAGGTATAGGTTTCATTCACTCTTTTCATCTCCTTTACGCAAATGTTGCTAACCTCTGACCCACCCCCCATCCCTCCTGCTTGCCCTCTCCACCCCACCTTTCTCCACAGAGCGCATCACCATCTAAGCTACAATGGGCTTACTTATCTTGTTTACCTGTCTCCTCTAATAGGACAAGCATTCCATGAGGGCAGGGACCTTGTCTTTCCTGCTCACTGCTGTACCCCAGCCCCTAGAACACATTCTTCAGTGAATGGCTGACTGGCTGAATGAAGGAATGAACTAATGAATGCCCAGACAAGGGGCACCCCAGTCTGGGCCACCCTAGGCAGGCCATCAGCAGTAACAGGCTCCCCTGACCCACTGGCCTGCCCCAGCTTTCTCTGTGGGGACTCCCAGGCTCTCTAACTGCAGGAGGCAGGCTGCCCATTCCTCTCTGTCAGAGGTAGCCCGCTCTTTGCCAGAACAAACATGCTTGAAAGGGGTCTTGGGCTCCGTTATTAAACAGTGAAAGAAGGACTGATCCTCTAAGCCTCCTTTTCAGGAGAACCCAGGCTAATAATAGCTTTGCCAGGAAACCTCCAGCGGCCGACTGAGCCCACCTGTGAGTGCCCATGCTTGCCCAGACATGTCTGCCATCACTAACCCTGGGATTTCTGCATTTCCTCTATACTTCTGGTAGAAAGGAGATAAGCACCTTTGATGACAGGTCCTGTTTTAATTCTTGCAAGTTCTTCAGCACACAGCCTGAGAAGTCTGACAAATACTGTAGGGAGGGGCTGGAAGAGGGGCAAATTTGGGTTCTATGTGGGATTCTGCAAAGGGTCCTCTAAGCAAGCAGTGAGAGAAAGAGAGGAATAAGGAGAGAGGGAGAGAGAGACAGAAAGAGAAAGAGAGAGAGAGAAATAGACAGAGACAGAGATAAGACAGAGATAGAAATAGAGACAGATAGATAGGAGGTAGAGATATATTGAGATAGAGACAGGTAGAGATAGAGAGACAGAGATAGAGCTATAGAGGTAGAGAGAAAAGAAAAGAGAAGAGGAGAGAAGAGTGTGAGAGAAAGGATAGGGCAGGGAGCCCGCACCCTGCGTTGCTAGCAGACCACGTGTAAAAGCCCTCCGTGGGCTGGGACAAAGCACAGCCTTTGGGCTAAGATCATCAGCCCTCACTTCTCAGCTCTGGTCCCTTGACTGGCTGTGTCATCTTGAGCAATTACTTAGACTCTCTGACCCACAGTTTCTTTTCTTTACTTGTTTATTTTTTTTAATGTAGCAAAATATGCACATATCCCCAAAAGACATAATTGCAAAGTGAATACCTGTGTAACTATGACTACCATCATGACTTTCATGGTATTCATTTCTTTGCTTTTCTTTATATTTTTGCTTCCTAATTATCTATCCATAAATAATATACATAGTCTACTTCTGCCCTGTTTTTCAGCTTTACAGAACTTTACATAAGTAGGAATGTAAAGCACATTATTAGGCTTCCCATGTCCCACAGTATGCTTTAGAATTCAGGCATGTTGGGTAGAGCTGTAATCAATTCATTTTCACTATTGTAAGAATGAATTCTTTTTTTTGTCATCAGGCCATCATAAATAAGGCTGCTGTGAATGTCTGATGTGTATGAGTCTCCTGCCATACCTGTGCACATATTTATATTTCTCTTTGGAACATGCCTAGCAGTGGAATTGCTGAAACATAGGCGTGCACTGACTTTTGCAGATACTGCCAACTACTTGCCTAGCAATATATGCAAGTGTATGTAGCTCGCTATTCTCAACACTGTTTGGAACGTGCAGTCCTTTTCATTTAGTCATGCAGGTGGATGAGAAGGATTGTGTTGTGGTTTAATCTGCATTTCCCTAATTACTACTGAGGTTGAGCACCACTGTCTGCGTTCATTGGTCACAAGGATTTCCTTCCTCTGCTGCAAAGTGGCTGTTCAAGTCTCTTGCCTATCTTTCTGCTGGCTTGTCTATCTTGGCCTTATTGGTTTGTAAGAGTTTGAGGAGTGAATCTTTTGATGGTTGTATATATAGCAAGTACCTTCTTCAACCTATAGTTTATCTTTTCATTTTCTCAATCTACCTTTTAAAGAACAGATGCTCCTCATTCTATGTAGTATAATTTGTCAATCTTTTCCTAAAGATTAATGTTTTTTGTAATTCTTTTAAAAAGCCTTTCTCTACCCCCAAGATCATGGCTATGTTCTCCTTTTTCCAATGTTCAAAGGTGCCACCTGTCATAAAGCAAAGCCCAGCTACATGGAAGCCTACTTTTGGGCTCTATTTTGTTCTTTTGGTTCACTTTCAACTACCTTGCACCAAAGGAAGCTGATGGAGGATGCAAAAATCCCTGGGTGAGCTTGGGTCCTCCCGAGCCATTCAGCTGGGTCCACGGGTCATATTTGCTGTGATTGTCAGGGGGCAAGAGGCTCTGGCTAACAATGTGAGCCCATTTATGAAGCCCAGGAAAAAAACTCTGACTTTTAAGGTTATATCGACTCTTCTATGTAAGAGACATGTGGTTCTGTGAAAGGTGGTCAGGAATTGCGTAGCCAGGAACAGGAGAGGAGAGCTGGTGAGATGAGTGAAGGAAGGGACTCAGCCTATGAGGCCTGCACGGTCTAGAGGTGTGCTGTGAGCTCCAAAAGGTAAACTTTGGCCTCTGTCTGGACTCAGAGCCAATTAAACTCTGTGTGGGATGAGAGCACTTCAAAATTAAAGTCTGTGACTCCTGTGGTCAGACCTCAGCAGCCTGAGGGCCCCTGGTATACACGTTATGAAGGAAGTTGGTGGCCCTGGCCCAGCTGTAGTGGTGACCCCTTTTAAAAGCTCTTTTCACGATGACTTCATTGGGACACCAACCTACTGAAACAGCACCTGCCCAGCAGGAGTCATCTTTCCTTTCTCTGGTACCCCATGTCCAGACCATCAGGAAAACCGGCAACTCCCCCTTTAGAACACTACAACTGACCACTCTTCACGGTCTTCTCCATTCCTATGCCAGCCCATGCCCCTGTGAATCTCGTCCCATGACTGTCCAGTACTGTTGCATCCACTCTTGTCTATGGTCCACCCTAGCACGGCAGCCAGAGGGCTCTTTTTATAAACCTAAGTCAGGTTGTGTCTCTTGCTCAGAGACCTCCCTGAAATCTCCACCATGTCCCCAGGACTCTGTCATCCCAGGTCCTTCACTCTCCTGTCCTCTCTCCCTCAGACCCACTGGCCTTCCTGAGATTCCTTGTGTTCCCTTCAACCCATCCCACCTCAGGGCTGATGCACTCACTGGTCTCTCTGCCTGAATGCTCTTCCCTGGCATCCTCCTCGTGACTCATTAAGCTGGCTGGGCTACAACCCTAATGCACATCTCCTCTGTCCTCCCACTTAGCTTTATGTTGCTCATTGCTGTTTCTCGCTGTTGGATATCACATGACATATTTACTTGCCTACCTCTGTCTCCCACAGGACAATGCAGAGGAAGGGAGGGTGGAGGCATCACCTACTTTTACTTTGTTTACCACTGAACTCCTAGTGTCTAGAACAAAACCTAGTGCATTTTAGGCACCCAATAACTGTTATGAATAAAGGAGGAAGTGAGTAAATGGGAGCTACTGGTTTCTAATCAGTGATGGGGGCAGATTTTGAGGGCAATGCAAGGGACCTCTGCAGCTGCAGCAGGCACCACAGAGGGAAGGATACTGTACCTAGGCATCTGATATTACCCTGTGAGCACTCACTTCTGGCCTATGTGCAGAACTCATCCAGCTGAAGCACCCAGCAGGGGTCTGACGCAGAGAGGCAAGTATGCAAAAGTCCCAGGACTGTGTGGTTGGAGGAGGGCATGTCTTTGAAAAGGGGCCCTAATTTCCCCTTCCAGGCCCTGCTTGATATACCTGAGGGACAGCTCTTGAGTGCCTGCAGCAGAAGAGGACAACAGTGCCTGCCCGCCTTAAGAAGCACGGGACATATCCAGGGAGTCTTGAACAAGAGTGGTCCTGCCAGCCCACTGGGGGGTAAGGGGCATGATTACCTGGACGCAAGGGTTCTAGAGGGTGAGCATGCGGGCTATGGGCAGTACCTCCACCAAATGGGGCCCAGATGACCCGGCGGATGGCCTGTACCCAGTCCTCCATGTCACGTTGAGAACTGGCCATGAGCAGGAGCGCCTCGGGGTTGGCTGGCACCTTCTCCCGCTCTGCGGCACCTGAAAGACAGGGAGACACAGGTTTATTACAGGGACCACTGTACAGACATAGGGTGCCCTCCCCCACAGCACTCTCTCCAGCCCCAACACCAATTACTTTTTTATTCCCTGGTCTGTAAGAAAGCTGTCTCTTCAAAACCCTTCAGCAACAGCCCTGTTCTGCATTCTATTTTTGCAGCCTATTCCTTTCACACCTCACACATCTGTCTTTGGGGCACCTCCACGTTTCTCTTTTCTCCCTTAGTCTTGTCATTTTTCTGTATCAAATCAGAGTTATTAAAATCATCCTGGAGCACTATTTTTAAACGCATACAGATTGGAGGCCAGCTTGGAGAAGTTCAGTACCCAGAGTAAAATTCCAGAATACTGCACCTGTCCCCACTCACATCTGAAGGAAGAAGGATGGGAGAGCTCCATTCCTGAACTGACTTTTTCCCACAGTAACTCCAGTGGTTCTCATATTTATATGTGTAAATGATTCCTCTTTCACATATAAGTGAATTAATCTTTGGGATGTATATAAAACCATTTATACTGAATTTCATAGGCAATATAAGGACTTTGAAACATGATCTTGTCTTTATGCACTGCCCCCCCCCCCCCATCACACAATATGTAACTCACCTATGTACTTGCCTAAGATCCCAGAGCCTCAGACCCTAACCAGAGTCATCTGCTGGTGGGATGAGGCCCAGGATCCTGAGTTTCCAAGGAGATAGAATGGCAGTGGGGACAACTGTGACACCCAGGATGGTCCTTGCTGGAGGCTACAGCCCCAGAATGGAGACCAGACAGAAGCAAGTGCTTACTGAGTGCTTGGTACCTGCCTGAGACCCTTCTAAAAGCTGAAGACACTTAAATGAACAAAGCTGACAGGCATACCTGCCTTCCTAGGATTCTTTAATCTTCGTGGCAACACTGAGGGAATCACTTTTACTATCTGCATTTTACAGAAGAGGAAACTGAAGCACAGTAAGATTAAGGAACTTGGCTGAATTCACACAGCTAGTGTGTAGTAAAGTCAGGGATTCAATGTCCCCAGCTCTGGGATCTGACCAGCTACATGTTCCCACCATCCCCCACAAACACGGCAGCCTGCTGGGGTCAGGCTGTCATGGTCACAGCAATGCCACTGAGGACTGGGGAAGCCAATTAGGCTGCTCTGAGAGCGGGAGCAGAGGAAGGGGTGCATCCTCATTGAGGGGATGCAGGGAGCAAGGCTGGGAGGCTTGGTGGGAAACAGGAGATGCCAGTGGGGCCCAAAGCTCAGGAGAGTGGTGAGCAAGGAGACAAGACTGCCAGAGCCCAAGGATGCCTTTCTGGGCCCCTCACACACTTACAGTCCTGTTCGTTTGGATCCACCCAGCCACTGAGCAGCAGAACTACAGAGGTGGCAAGGAAGAGAGCTTGGAGAAGAGACAGCAAAGCCTGAAGCCGAAGAGGCGGTGTGGACCTGCTGAAAATACAGTCTACCCCACAGCTCAGGCAGCTGCTGGGGTCATGTGTGGGGTGTGGGCACTGCCACTGAGATGGGGACAGTGGCTGTGCATATTCAGGATCCCACACCTCCTGGACTGTGAGGGTTGAGATGGCTAAGTGGCCCAGCGGGGAGGGGAAGCTGGATGCCACCGGAAAGCTTTTCTGGAAAGAGTCTCAAGATGACTCAGAAGAAAGGGACTTAGAGATCCATGGCTCTGAGAACTTGCTGTGGTTACTTATTTATCTTAAGTGAATACTGAAGTTTGTGCCTAATTGGAATATCTGATTTTTCAATTCTTTTTCCCAAAGAGGGTCACCCAAGTCACATAGGCTTCATATAAACTTCATCTACAGAACTTGGACCTGCCCTGCCCAGATGCTGACAGATGCTCTTGTGTCCATTTGTGCCCCTGCCCACAGTCCTGCTCTCATGATGCTCCAAGCCTGTGTACTTAACTTTTAACGTATTCTTCATGTATATATGCTTATTTATGAATGGGGGGTACCCCAAACAACCCAGAATTTATTTATAAAAATTGTGTATTTATTCTTACATGTTTAAACTTCAGTCACTTTCGAAGTACTCTCCATTTGATGCAATACATCTATTTAGACCTTTTTCCACTGCTCAAAATACTTTTTGAACTTGTTGATTTTGATGCCTTCTAGTGCTTCTGCCATTTTTCATTTTACTTCTTCCACATAGAAAAAACATTTCCACTTAGGACTTTTTTCACCCAGAAAAACAAACAAACAAAAAGGTCACTAGGGATGAGGTTGGGTGAATAGGAAGGATGGGTCACGGGGGTCGTGCTGTTTTTGGTCAAACACTGCTGAACACTCAGCACCATGTGGGCAGGTGCACTTGTAAATCACCCATCATGAAATGGGCAAACACACTGAAAGAGTCTTCAAAAAAAATTTCACTGAGGCCAAATGCAGCCTCTCACAACAATGCCAGCTAGTACACTGATACAAGTGGGTTCCTAGAATACTCACCAGGTGGGGGAAGCCTGTACTACAAGGGGCCCATCCTCCAAAAGATAATTCCATTTTTGGGGGGAGGTCCCCTCTTGTGTACATGTTATATACATGTGTTTAACTTTTAAAGAAATTGCAACAAACTGCTTTCCAAAGTAACTGTACCCCTTACATTCCCACCAGCAATACACAAGAGTTCCAGGCAACACTTGGTCTGGTCAGCGTTTTTACTTTTAGCCATTATAAAGGGTGTGTAGCAGAACAGCATTGTGTTCAAATTTGCACTTCCCAAATGATTAATGATGTTGAACATCTTTTTATGTACTTAATTGTCATCCACGTATCTTCTTCGGTGATATAGCTGTTGAAATGATTTGTCCATTATTTAAATGTACTGTCCATTTTTTTAATTATTGAGATTATAATAAGATTATTATTGAGAATTCTTTACATATTCTGGATACAATTCTCTTATAAGATATACGCTTTGCAAATATTTCTCCCAGTCTGCACTTTTTCTTTTCATTCTATTCACTATGTATTTTCAAGAGGAGAAGTTTTTAATTTTGATAAAGCCTAGTTTATCCACCTTTTTCTTCTATTGAGTGTGCTCCTGGTTCTGTATTTAATAAGTCTTTCCTTAAGCCAAGGTCATAAAAGTTTTCTTCTAGAAGTTTTGTAGTTTTAGGGCTTACATTTAGGTCTATGAGTTAGTTTTTGTATATGGTACAAGGTATGAATTGGAGTTTGTCCAATTTTGTACACGTCTGTCCAGTTGTTCTGGCACTATTTGTTGAACAGACTATGCTTTCTCTGTTGGCTTGCCAGTGTACCTACATCGGCAATCATACCATCTGAAAATAAAGGCAGTTTTAGTTCTTATTTTCCAATCTGGAAACTTGCATTTCTATTTCTTGTCTTATTGCACTGACTACAGCCTCAAATATAATGTTAAATAGAAGTGGAGAGAGTGGACATCCTTGTCTTGTTCATCTTATGGCAAAAGCATTCAGTTTTTCACCATTAAGTATACCTGCTATAGGTTTTTTTGTCAATGCCCTTTTTCGGGTTGAGGAAGTTCACTTCTATTTCCAATTTGCTGAGGGTTTTCTTTCTTTTGAAATCAGAAATAGATGTTGGATTTTGTCAATTGCTTTTTCTCTATATATTGAGATATTGCATGAATAGTTTATTAATATGATAAATTATGAGATGAATTTTCAAATCTTAAACCAGCTTTGCATTCCTGGAATCCTGATTGGCCATTATGTATTATCCTTTTTATATATTGTTGAATTAAATTTGTTAAAGTTTTGTTGAGAATTTTGCATTTCTATTCATAGAGGATATTGGTCTACCATTTTCTCTTCTTATAGTGTCTTTGTTGGTTTTGGTATCAAGATGATGCCAGCCTCACAGCATAACAAAAGCATGTGACATGGACCATATGAACCAAAAACCTAAAATATTTACTATCTAACCCTTTTTTAAAAAGCTTGTTAACCAGAAAAACAAAGACAAAGACATAGACAAAATCACTAAAACAAAAAGCTGGGTTATTTTCTTTTTGGAGATTAATAAAATCGGAAATTTCCCCACGCGTGTGTGGTGATGAGTTCCCAAGGGAGTTTTCTCCCTGAGCAGCTCTTTCCTCTTCAGTATTGTGTCTTGAAAACTCTAGGTGCATTGGTCTTCCTGGTCTCTAAGCTCTGTCTTCTTAATTCATGGAGTCCTGTGGTCTCCACCTGGGTTTCCTCTTCCTGCATCACAGCCTACAGACTTTCTTGGGACAGAAAGCCTGTCATTGCCCAATGTTGAGTATCTTAAAAAAACATGTTTCTTACATTTTATCTTTTTCTGTGGATGTTTTAGGTAGGAGACTAAATCAGTGATGTTAAGACTCAAATCAGCTCATATCATCAGCTCAAAATCCTGCCATGACACCCACCACCCCCATAAAGTCCTAGCAATGGTCTTCCAAGCTGTTCACCCCCCGCACCCATTGCTCCTCTGACTTCTTGCTGCTCTCCTCGTTGCTCTTTGCCATTCCCTGAAAAACTAGGCATGTCCCTGTGTTCCCTCTGCCCTTGCTGTTGCCAGGAAAGCTGTTATTCCAGACACTGGCACAAGTTGCCTTATCTTGTCAAGTCTTCCCTCAAATGTTGCCTTCCTGGGGAATCTTCCTGCTGCTCTATTTACACCTCACTCCACATCACCCATCACTACCCATGCCTCTCCTTGACCTTGATTTTTCCATAGTCTTATCACAATCCCATACACATGTATTTTGTTTTATGACCCGTTTATTTATACTTTTTACTTTTGATCCACACCTACTCTATCTTATAAGCAACTGCAGTACATGAGGCAGTGCCCAGCCAGGGAGGGCATCACAGAATCCATGATGAATGAAACGTTAATAATAGCAGCAGCAGAACCCCAGTGGCTGGCACACACAGAGCACTCGCTCAGAAGTAGGCATGAAGTTAACAAATTGATGAGCCTTAGAAGTGTGAACATTCACAAGGGAAGTGGTGTTA